ACCAGAGACATTTTGTGGGGCTGGGGTGGGCAATGGGATCAAAAACAGTGGGGGGAGGGAAATGCACTGGACTGTGGTGATGGCACATGGGTGACTTGGTGATGGAAATCCAAGGAGATTGCAACTGAGATGGAAAAATGCACAAAAATATGTAAAAATAAACTATTATGAAATTTAAAAAACATTGTTATAACTGCAAAAAACAAAAAAAAACAAGAACACCCTAGGTCTAGATAATGGTCAAAGAAAGGCATATTTTGATCTACCAGACTGAAAGAAAAGAGCAGAGGGGTGCAGACTTCCCTGTTCCGACAGCCCCAAACCTGCCCTGGCTGTTTCCCCTCACCCCCGAGGCTGGCAATTGCAAACCCTGCTTCTCCTCGGCAGCTGGCCAATGGGGGCCTGGAAGGGATGGGTAGGCTGGACACCAGCCTGCTCCTCAGTGCAGCCCCTTCAGAGCCCAGCTCCCGTGCCCACTCACCCAGCTGCTCCTCCAGTGCTTCCCCGGCACCCAGGGCAGCGTTTCCTGGCCTATGATAGGGCCTTGCTCTGCGTTCCTTCCTCCTCACCCCTTGGGGGTAAGCTCCCTCTCTTCTGCTTAGGGCTCTCCTTTTACTGCCTGAGAGGCTGCCTGCCTCTTACACCGTGAACATTGTTTATATATGGACACTTTCCTGCTTACACCTACACCTCTCCCACCCTGCACTGGAATGACACCTGGTGAAATGAAGTCAGTACCACCCCTGGGGGCAGCTGACATGGTGAGCTCCCTGCACAGGCCTGAGGACCCACGCCAGCGCACCAGCCACCTGGAACAAAGCCTGCTCTAGTCTCATCAAGAGCAAACATCAGCTAAATGAGCCTCAGCACTGAGAGACTGTGTTCTTCCAAGATGTCAATGTCACAAGTGACAAAATGACACGAATGCTCCAGAGTAAAGGAGCCCAAGGAGAGGCAGCAATTAACTTAATGCCCGATTCCAGCTGCAGGCAGGACTGGAGCGAAAATGTTGAAAGGACTCTGTGCCACCAACTGGAGGTTAAACACTAGACTGCACTAAATGGACTGGACCGACTCTCTACTGCGGTTGCCAGCAGCACCCTTGCTCCTAGGAGACGCCACTGCAGTGGCAGGAGAGAGCACCCACCACAGAGACAGAAGAACAGGGCAGACTGGTAATGATGTCATTTTTTGAACTCAGGGTCCTTGGGTTCACTCTGGGAAAGGTTTCACCAGAACTCCCCTTTCAGCGGCACAAGGCGAGATTCTCCACAAGACAGAGATTCTTCAC